TTGCATGTAGAGTCTTTTTAAAAAAATATTTATTTATTTGAGAGGTACATTTAGAGAGGGAGAGACAGAGCGAAAGGTCTTCCTTCCTCAAATGGCCGCAACGGTTGGAGCCGAGCCTATTGGGTCTCCCATGTGGATGCAGGAGCCCAGGGTCTTGGGCCATCTTCTTCTGCCTTCCCAGTCCATAGCAGAGCTGCTTCAGAAGAGGAGCAGCTGGGACATGAACTGGTGCCCATTTGGGATGCTGGGGCCACAGGTGGAGACTTAGCCTACGGTGCCACAGCGCCAGCCGCAGCATGTAGATTCTTAGTGACATGTATAACTAATCATACTGCTGAAAACTGAAAAGTCCACATACATTCATTTGCTGAGGCTGCCATAATAATGGAACATACACAGGGTGGTTTGAACAATAGAAGTTAATCTTCTCACAGTTCTAGAAGCTGGAAGTTGAGATCAAGATGTCAGCAACTCTGGTTCCTTCTAAGGCTTTCTCCTTGACTTGCAGGTGGGTATCTTCTCCCTGTATCCTTACCGGGTTTTACATCTGTGTGTTTCTGTTCTAATCTCCTCTTACAAGGACAGCAGTCATATTGGACTAGGGTCCACCTAATGTCTTGATTTTAACTAAATTAATTTTTAAAAAAGATTTATTTATTTTACTTGAAAGTCACAGTTATGCAGAGAGAGAGAGAGAGAGAGAGGTCTTCCATCCGCTGGTTCACTCCCCGGATGGTGCACTGATCCGAAGCTAGAGCCAGGAGCTTCTTCCAGGTCTCTCATGTGGATGCAGGAGCCCAAGGACTTGGGCCATCTTCTAATGTTTTCCCAGGCCATAGAAGAGAGCTGGATCGGAAGTGGAGCAGCTGGGTCTCGAACTGGCACCCATGTGGGATGCCGGCACCACAGGCGGCAGCTTTACCTGCTACGCCACAGTGCCAGCCCCAACTTAATTACTTTTTAAAGACTCTATCTCCAAGTACAATCACTTTCTGAAGTGTACTGTGGAGTAGGATATAAATCTATGAATTTTAGGGGAGGGGTCACAATTCTGCCAGTAACAGAACCCTGTCCACTCAATTTCTTTTCACTCCTATTAGCACCAGGCCCATCTGTCCCTGATATGCTTTTTCTGCAGGACAGTTGTATCAATCATTTTAGCTTTTCTAAAGTTTCATTTATTGGAGTGAAGTTGGGTCACATGATTTGAATGCCAGTTTGTGAATAAAAAATATTAGTGTATTAATAATAAAAAAGGTATGTATTGTGTTATAAATTTAATGCAGTTCTAAAATAGAATTTCAAAAATCAATCTGGGCAATGATAGCGTATTTAAAATAAGTACACAAATTCTAAGAAGAGGCAACATGGGTTAGTGGTTAGGAGAGCAGATAGCTGGACTGCCTGGGTGACCATTTCGACTCCTCCAATTCCCAGCTGGTCAGTCTGGGACAAGTCATTTAAGCCTTCCTCTCCTTGGGTTTTCTTGTCTGAAAGTGTAACCATAGTTCTTATTTGTTAACATTATAATAGAAATTTAAGATGCTCATCTATGTAAAGAATATGAAAGAGTATCTGGCACATAGTAAGTGTTCAATAAATGTTTGATTTTTACTCCAAGAGCAGCTGCTTTGAATGAAGGTACTCATTTGAATAAATTAGGTCTGGTGTGGTTATTAAAACATATCTGCTACTTTGTGTGAATAACTTATAGGTTTTCCAGGGTGCACCATAATTTGATCTGAGAGGATAGTTCATATTTGTCATGAGCAATCTGCAAGCTTAAAGATACAGGAGGGTTAGTTTTAATCATTGAAGCACATAGAACTTTTGCTAATTAACAGTGAAGTGGTCCAATTTGGTGGTATGGCTTGAGGACCACAGTGTGATTAGCAGTAGCACTGAATGTGTGTGGACAGTTATTGTGACATACTTGGGCCAGCTACCCACTCTAATAAGTACAGATCTCCTATTATCTGCATTATATATGACAATTCTGTGTAAAATTTCATTTGAGAGAATTCTACTCTAAAAGTACCTTGAGAACCAGTAGCATAATAGAGATATTCATATTCTTATGCCCCCCACTGCTTTCATTCTGTGTATACCCCAGGGATGCAGCTAATGTTAATATTAGCCTGAGCAAAACATAATTAGGAAGGTAAATCTACTGCAAAAAGTAATATAGCATAAATTAAATAAATTAAATATAAATCAAATCAAGTATAAAACAGTGCATTCAATTATCTGCATCACTGCTTCCTCCCTCTAACATGGATGTTTGAGAGGAGATTAATTTTCTTTCTGGGATAGGATCAAATCTGAGCCAAGGCCAATGAACTGTGTCCACCCCTGGGAAGATGGTGCTTGACCTATTTTTTATTTGGTCTGTTAGGCATTAGCTAAAGGCATGGCTATTTGGATCAGGTAAATTTTCAGTGTCAGTAAGATCTGCTCCCTCTCTATCTTAATTGTTAATGCATGAACTAGTCTTTGTGTATGATGGGGAACACCTACTTATAATATGCTATTACATGCTCATATAGGTTCTAATATGTGGTGAGCTATTTATAAAAATATATTAGCTGAATAGACTCTCATGGGCCCAGTGAGTTAAAGTGCGTTTATGCTGAAGGAAGCTTTTGAGTTTTGACAGTAGGCACACCCGTCCAGAGCAACTGCTGCTCCTAGAGCCAGAGGAAGAACCGGTCCAAGCCCATGTTTGACACTTCAGTCCCACTCCCCCAGCATCGGTTTGATTTGCCCTACTCCCCATGTCAGTATGATACTCAGATGTACCTTCTCCATCCATTCAGTGTCTAAACTTCTCTAGGCAGGATTCTGAATCTGATGTGCGGGATTCCAAGGTGCAGGATTCCAGATATTTTCCAGTGTTCCCCTGGAGCACACTATCTTTTATCAGACGTGACTCTGAATTCAGAAGAATCTGATGCCACCCGTCCTGTGCTTTTGTCTGTGCTTACCTCCTCCATTTGTGTTCACTGCAGCTAGATTAGACAACCTGCCCCTGTTGGAAGCAGGTCTAAAATAGAAGGAACTCATGAGCATAAAATTGCACCAGTTTCTGGGCTTTTAAAATTCAAGCAGCTTTGCTTGCACCCATGAATCACAAATTGGTGGAGGTGATAGCATCCAGAGACAGTTCTTGCAGTTGGAGAACAAGAAAAAAATCAGAAAATTGTCAACTTCGTTTTGACACTCTGCAACCTGTGTTATAAAAGCCTCTCTTGTTACCCTGCATCCCAAACCCTTGCTTGCACTATGCCAGACTTTGATCTTTTTCTTTCTCAGACTATTTTTTTTTTAGTAACCACGCCTCTTCTCTATCCTGCAACATTTCCTTGTGTTTCTAGCAGTAGCAAGTGGCTGATTGCAGGGACCATGTCTTTATGCTAAGTCCGTAACTTAGTTGGGTACCCCGTAGATCTTGGGAGAATGAGTGTGCACATGAATGCGTGACGAAAAGAGAAGCTGTAGAGCAGGTTTCTCACTGCTCTCCACATCATCAGAACCTACAACCTCACTTGTCTCACTCTCTTCAGGCTCTCAGTCCTCAGGCCTGGCTTTCTGCTGAAAGGGCCTGCCTGGTTTTGTCACATTCAGAGTTTATTCTTCCATATTATCTTTCACAGAGGCGTCCAATTAATGTACCACAAAATAGAAACATTTTTCCTATGTCTCAACTGTGCATACACTGAATAATGCCCCATTGCCTTGTTGAATAAAGCAAAAAACTCTTTAGTGCGATATCTGATACTGAGTGGAGCTTGTCCTTGAAATTCTTTTAAAATTATTTTCACTGTAAAGATTCCAAACATAATACAGATTCTTATGTACCCAGTACTTCACTTGCAATATTTACTTTGATCGTCTTTCCCTAAATAAACACACATTACAGATAGTCCCTTACCTCTTTCCCTCTTTCTCTCCCATAGAGATCATCATTCCCCTGTTTAATTTTTCTTTAACAACTCACCTATGTGAACCCTTTGGTCCATTTAGCGTCATCTTCTCTCTGGAATTTCCTTCTCCCTCCTGTTTTTTTTTTTTTTTTCCTCTGAGGCCCTGCTCACTTCCCACATCTTCTAGCAGGTTTGCTCACCAGTGCCCTCATTTCTACCTTTTCCCACAAGCGGTTGTCTCCATTGCTCATGTGGAGACAAGGATCTGCACGTGACAGCTACGGAGGAGTTTCCTCCTTGTGTGGTGTTTCTAGCCCCCTCACAATAATGTGGATGTCTTGCTTTGAATTCTGATTGATTGTTTTCATATGTTCTCCCTTCACTAGGGAAAAGCTCAAGAATAATATTTGAATCTTATTTGTGTGGATTAATTCATTTTACAAATGTAAACTTAATGCCTACTAATAAGTTCCAGGAATTGTTCTAAGCCCTGGGGATATAGGAATGAACACAGCAGACAAGTGCTGTCCTAGTAGAATTTAAATTACATAGAAAAATGAAACAAACAAGGAATATGTCAAGATGAGAAGTGCTGAGGACAAAAAGATGCAGGAAAAAACCTAAAACACCTATTTTAGCTAAACTTTAAGTATATGCATTTCCTATATATATTATGTCAGTGGTAAGTGCAGAAGACACCCAGTATACATGGGCTGAATTACAGAATAAACTCAAGTCACTACTCTGTGTAGACCATCTTTCTAGGAAGACGAGGATAGGAATGCAAATTTTAATCCTTTACTAACAGGTACATCTGGGCTGTGCCCCTTGTTATCAATAAATGTGCATTCTTGGAATGATAGCAGATTTTAATTTTAGTGTAAGTGGCATAGCTAGGGAGTGAAGAGATTTTTATTAGCAGAATATTAATTCTGCTAATCAAATGGAACCAGTCTGGCATCATCTTTCTAGACAGTTTGCTTCGGTCATTGGCCCACTGTTTGCAGTATTTCTATATGTGTCGCTATCAAACTGTTTTTACCAAGAAGACCAATGTCCTCTTTTTAATTCTTCTAGCCTCCAGGATAGGATACAATCCCTCAACTTGTCACTTAAAGAAATCACTGCTAAGGTAAGTACATTTATGTTTCCATTTTCCAAAGAAGTCTAGGAAGAGTTTTCTTTCGGCTTAACTTTAAGTCCAGATCATAGAACACCTGGACTGTGGAAGTAACATAGAGTTTTCCAGGCCATGTTGTGGGTCAGACAGATAAGCCAGAAGAGCCAGGAGACTGGGCTGGGCTGCTGTCCATGGTGGAGATCTTGACTTATTGTTAGCCCAGAAATGGACTGGTTTAGTCTTTGCTTCAGTAGGAGCTTTCAAGTTAGGGACTGGGGAAAGACTGCTGTTGTGCATTTTGAATGCCTTTGCTTGAAAAGACTTTCCGGATGCGCATCATCTGAGAAATGGAGTGTTTCCTCCCAGTAGACAGTGTTGAGGTTCCTCACAGTGGAAATGAGATAGCAGATGATTGCATTTGTTTCCCAATGTTGTTCAGTTGGCTTGAGAGTGATTTTACCTATTTTATATGCCATTTAGACTCCTATTTGAAACCTTAGTTTGTGTAGAGAAAGAACACTTCTCCATTGTTCTCTGGGAGCTTATAGTCAATTAAATTAAATAGGTAATGTCCTGTTTAGGACAGATCCCTAAATAGTTACATTTCTCAGTGCAACTATAAAGGCTCCATTTGTTAATAAATTCCTTGGAGTCTAATTTTATTTCTAAATAAAAGAAAATAAATATTTTTCTGGGGTGTATATATGTATGTATAGATAAGCATGTCCATGTGCAGATATATTAATGTGTGTAGAGCAGTGTATATTAGCCTATAGATAACTAAAGCAAAACTTTCTAATCACACAGAACTCCACTGTAGACTAGATTGATGCATTACCAGGAGGTAAGCATTTCAGCTTGACAGTTTTCTTTCTTTAATGAGTTAGGCACTCATGTGCAATTTTTGAGTATGCATGTGTGCGCGCACACACACACAGTCTGATAGTCTGTAGATTCCACCCACAGAGGGAGATGGAGCCTTCCTTTCAGTCAATTTATTTCTTTATCTCTTATGAGTTACCTAAAGCAAAGTTAATTATGGGATAAATGAGATGGAAGAAATAGTTGGAAATAAATGATATCTGTAGATGGTAGATATTGGATTACATCCACCACAGACTGAAAGAGTGTGCATTGCAATTTATTATGGAGATTTAGAAAGACTGTTTCATATTAATAGTGACAGCTTTAAAGATAGATTTGTTCAACAACGGGGAAACTGATTCAGCTATGATTAACATCTACTTCTAACTAAAATCATAACTATTAAACAGAGATTGGATGAGACTAAAAATTACAGGAGGTGTTACAGGATTAATGTAAATGTCCTCGGACTTCTGATGACATTCTTAGGTGAATGAGATGGGATGGGATGTGCCAGTCATCAGGTCAAGTCATGATTTGGTTCTGGAGGGAAGGTGTCCAGGATGTCTTCCTTTTCCTTCCCAGTTCTGACATCCTGGTGAATCTCGGGACTCTTGAAGGGCTTTCAAGATTAATCACTTTGGACATGTAGATGCTGAGCATTCCTGGTGCAGGCTTTGCTTTAGAGGCCACCAAATTCTTGTCTTCATCCCGAGAGTGAGTTTTACAAAGAGATTGGAAAGTTACAGCCACCGAATGGAAAAGATCACATATAAGTCCACAAGAGAAATAGTGGAGTATTTTAGGCAGGATGGGTGAGGTCTGCTTTGATTCTAAAAATAAACACAGATCTGTCTGAGAAAGGAAAACATTTAAAATTGATCCTATCTAGCAAGACCTAGATTGTTCTGGGAACATTGAATTTTATATTTTTTCTGGTCTCTGTGAACCTAACTGGGTTAATTCCAGTTTTTAATGAGATCTCAGATTTTTGACAAGAAAAGAGTGAAGCTTTAGGCAACATCCTTTGTGGACGCCCCAAGCTACCTCCCCAGATATTTTCATTATTATTCAATCTGTGCTGTGTGTTCTTGTCAAGAGGAAGATTTTTATGCTTTTCATTAATCTGAGTGTGGTAACAGGTAGATATGAGGTTCTAAGTATAAACAAAAGAAAAATGTGAGAGTTTAGCCTAAAACAAAATGAAAGATAACCTAATGGTATTTGGGAAAAAGAATTTGGAATTTATGATTTGTACTACTCTTCAAGAATAAAATAAAAGCATAACAAGTGCTTGGAGTCCCATGGGAAAATAAATGATGCAACCCATGAACCTCACTCAGTTATTTGCCTGTTTCCAAATGTGACTTCCCAGCAAGTATCTGCCTTCCAAGTTCCCCAAACGACGTCTGTTAGTAATTAAATTTACCTACCACTCTGACCTTGATCTCTGTGGCCATTTCTTTATTTACTGCCTGTTACATGCAAGCATAGAACAAAGTCCCTGTTCTCACAGAGCTTGTGTTCCAGCAAAGATAGACAGTGTAAAAACAAAGAAATAATAACAAATCGTGTGTCAGCAGGAGAGTGTGCTATGAGGAAATGCCACCAAGGCAGGGGGGTTAGACAAGTAGGGCCAGGGGAGGTTGCTCTTTGGAACAGGTGATCAGCAGGGCCTTTCCCTCCAAAAGTTTGCACAGAGAGCCTGAAAATGTGAGTGAACTAAACCATGTAGGGCAAGAGTGTATCAGACGTGAGTAGAGAGCAAAGGCCCCCAGAGGGAGGAGATAGAATTAGGAAGTCATTTCAGTTGGTGATTTCTCTCTGTTGTGTTAGCCTCTGTCAGTTTTATGTTCAGGTGCGGTAAAAGGGAAGAAGAACTAGGCTTAGCATATGCCAGTGCCTGCCTTCGCTCCCTCTTGTCTTCCTTCCTCCTTCCTTCCCTTTCCCCTGCCCTGGCCTTCCTTCCTCCATCTCGGCTCTCATCCTTCTTTTTTTATTGCTTCCTTGTTAAAAGCTCTCCCCCAGTTACTCCATATCACCCTGTTAGTTATTTAGACACCTAAAAATCTCTGACCTGGAGGTGTGTGACCTTCTGCACGTAGCTGAGCAGAGGGTGACGGTGACTCTTTCTCCCCCTGTAGGTGTGTATGAGTGAGAAACTCTGCGGCACTCTGAGGAGGAAAGTGAACGATATTGAAACCCAACTCCCAGCACTGCTTGAAGCGAAGATGCTTGCTGTGTCAGGTAACTGGAAGTAGAGGAGACAGTGAGGCCTATGAACCAAAATAGTGAGAACCACTGCATTGTGTTATTGCACCCTTACTTATATCACACTTGGACATCTGAAAGTTGTGAGAAGTTTTACTAAAACTCAAGAAATAGATGGGGAGTATGATTTCTTCATAAAGGATTGGGTAAAATGCATAAGAATACACATGTGCACAAAATAGGACATCTTGTGGACTTCTGGTTTCTGTTTCTTTAAGAGTTACAAGACTTTGTAGTGCATGTGCTGTATGATTCTAGCAGATGTTATGTAGAGTGTGTGTCTATAGATGTTCTATGAGAATTATTTTACATGATCAAACCCTTGCTTTTAGGGTGAAGAATGAATGGGAGCATGAGACAAGTTGATGTTTTCATTTTAAAATTCTAGTGGTAGAGCTTGGAGATTTCCTGGGAGATCATTGTTCTTCCTTATTCTGGTTGTTATTAAAGGATTATTTTTTTCCATTCATTAATAGTTTGAAAGCCAAAGTCCCTGGAAGTAGTATCTTACCCTGTCATTTAAAAAGTGATTCCAAACATTTCTCTGTATTTCTTATTTTATTTGACATTCATAGTAGCTTTATTGGGTAGAGGGAGAGAAACTATGATCTCCATGAACAAGTGGAGAGATTGAGGCAATGTGATGTGTTTTTTTGGCTAAGTTCACTCAGTTGGTTGAGAACTGGCAGATAAGGGACTAGAGTCTACACCTCCCAGTGTATGAGATCTATGGGTTTTTAATCCAATAATGTAGCAATATGGCCTTAAAAGTTCTCTGAGTTTTACAGGATGAATGAACCCACAGCATGTCAACTTCTGAGGAATCATAAAAATTTTACAAAAGGTATAATAATTACATGTATGGGTTTTAAATGGTATTTTAAGAAGGAATACAATAATTGGCAGCATCTCCTCCTCAGATCATTAAACAACTAATGTTGGCTGCTAATGAGCAATTTGGTCCCTCGCGCAGTCATGCATGTTATTTACAACCAATAGAACATCGCAATGTGAATGTGAGGCTTGGCTTTTAACAGCTTCACATGCCATTTACTTGGAATTATGACCCCATTTGCTAAGAGGGAAAAAAAAGAAGATTGAACACAATTTTGCTTCTGAGTTAGAGTTTTTGCCTTTCTCTATCAATATATCTTTCCCAGGAATACAGGTGGATGAGCATCTATTAAGCCCAAGGGAGGAGATACATAATTCAGGCGGCAGAGCTGTTCCTTGTTCCAGTATAAATACTCTCTTTTTAGAATCCCAGGGAAAATTCTTAAGATGGAACATACATTGCAAATGAGCCTGGGTTTTCTCTTTTAGCCTTTTGATTGGCAAAGAAAATTGAACCCTAATTGGATGAAGGATGACCTGAGTTCATTGTAACCTCTTGACCTCCGTGTTTCCTGACTACGCTTTATGTTCTTCGGTGAACGGTGGTCTCAGTGGACTGTCCCTGTGAGCTATACTGGCTGCAGTGTGGTTATCATTCTTTTGCAGCTTCTGCCTGGAGTGATGTTGCTGTTTTCTCATATTTCAGGACCTTCTTAGTAGCAGACTCTCACTCCATTAGACAAAAGCCACAATAGCAAACTTCTCTAAGAGAAGATTTCCCTATTGTGACCCTGCCATGAGAATGCTGAGGGACAGTGCCCTTGAGATCCTTAGAAGTCCTATTAAATAGAAAGCACCCAAAGGGATGTCCTTGACATTTGTGAGCCCTTTGAAAGCTTTATGATTCATTGTCCTGGATACATAGACAGATCCTAAATTTGATCCATGGCCTGAGGCTCTTTTTTTTTTTTTTTTTTTGACAGGCAGAGTTAGACAGTGAGAGAGAGAGACAGAGGAAAGTCTTCCTTCCATTGGTTCACCCCACAAATGGCCACTATGGCTGGTGCTCTGCGCTGATCCTAAGCCGGAAGCCAGGAACCAGGTTCTTCTTCCTGGTCTCCCATGCGGGTGCAGGACCCAAGCACTTGGGCCATCCTCCACTGTCCTCCTAGGCCACAGCAGAGAGCTGGACCAGAAGAGGAGTGACTGGGACAGAACCGGCGCCCCAACCGGGACTAGAACCCGGAGTGCTGGCACCGCAGGTGGAGGATTAGCCTAGTGAGCCGCGGCGCCGGCCAAGGCTCTTTCTTAATTTGGGAATGATTTGGTATCTGGAGAAACTGAAATAAAGAAATTGTTGTTGTTTTTCCAAGCCTCGCAGATCCTAGCTCCTTTAAATTTAGAAGTTTATTCTTTAGTTCATCTACTTCTCTTACATTTTATCATGGACAGTGACAAGAAGCCAGTGGGGACTTCTATATTCTGCCTGCAAATCTCTTTGAGTCTGGGATTCAATTTATAAGCAACTCTTTTATATTCCCCTCAGTTGATACCTGAGTGCCATTTTGTCATTGAAAGGATCCGCTTTCCTCCAGCTTTCAATAACCATTTTATAATAGTGTTCTTGCTTTTCTTGTAGCCTTATCAAAAGAGAAAATTACAGAAAAAATAGCTTTACAATCTTAATTGGCTTTCATTTGTGATTCTAGAATCAGGCAATACCTTGTTCCATAAAATGAAATGAACGTTCTGATGAATTGAGTAGAAGAAATTGGTTTTATAAATAGAATAGGATGGAGGAAAATGAAACATAACAAACAATGGATTGGTTGTTTCAAGTTACTTTTCTTGTAAAGGTTAAAGTGGCCTCATCATGCTACCTAATGATGGCTAATCTGGGGCTTTGACTTTCTCTCCCTACCCCCCCCCCCACATTTTTCAGAATGCCACATATAGTTTTTTATATACAGCTTTGGTTTGGTGGAGTAGAACTTTAGCATGAGTATCTCCATTTGGTTTAGGCTGTAGGGCCTAATCCAGGAGGTCAATCCAAATCCAAGTGTTCCTATTAATTTCACCAGCCTTCGCAAATGCCTGTTAGGCTTCTGCCTACTCTGTGGTCACAAAGCCAATGCCTCTGATTTTAGGGTTTTGTTCCAACAACACGCCACATCCAGACAACATTATATATTGCTGCATTATACACAAGTTCAAGGCTTGGTGACTTCAGATAATCACCAGTCATTTATTTTGCCTACAGCAGAGCTTGGCCAGGAGAGGTCACATAGCTCAGCGGGGCTGCATTCAAGATGGCGCACACTTAAGAGTGGCATTCAGTGACACGTAAACTTCTGGATGCCGGACACCATCTGCAACAGCTGACCAGACGGCAGCCTCACTGTATGTTGGCGGACCTCTTAGTGACCTTTGAAAATTGACTAGATGTGAAGATCTTTAGCTAAACAAACACAACCCTGCTATTTTGGCAGAAAATAAAGGTCAGATTTAAATAGTCTATAAAAGTTGTGCAGAAACTGTTAATAGAGCCCAGGTACCCTCCCTGATTCAGACGCCAGAGGCAGCCCTATGCTTCAGAGTAAGCTTGCTGGAATTCCCTTACAGTGGTAGAGTGAGTCTTGTCCATCTTCATATTTCTGTTTTCTTTCCAACCCTCACAGAAAGACTATAAATCTGTAGCCCTGGAGTCATTCTCTATACTTTTATTTCTGAACTCATGTAGCCTCCAACCTCATGGTGTTTTTTTTTTTTTTCTCTGTGTATTAAAATCATCTAGGGAAATTTTTTTTTTAGATTTTTTTTTTTTGACAGGCAGAGTGGACAATGAGAGAGAGAGAGACAGAGAGAAAGGTCTTCCTTCTGTTGGTTCACCCCCCAAATGGCCACTACGGCTGGCGCGCTGCACCCATCCGAAGCCAGGAGCCAGGTGCTTCCTCCTGGTCTCCCATGCAGGTGCAGGGCCCAAGCACTTGGGCCATCCTCCATTGCCCTCTCAGGCCACAGCAGAGAGCTGGCCTGGAAGAGGGCAACCGGGACAGAATCCGGTGCCCCAACCGGGACTAGAACCTAGGGTGCCAGCGCCACAGGCGGAGGATTAGCCTATTGAGCTGCGGCGCCAGCCTCAACTAGGGAAATTTAAAAATATTGATATCCAGCTACAGTACCAAATCCCTTCATTTGGAACCTTTGGGCATGATGTGACTACCAGAATCTTAAAAAATCTTGCTCTCTTTAATGTTCCATGAGGGTCAGATCCACTGTACCAGCCAGAAGAGAGCTGGGTTGCTGGGTTACTCGATTCATTTCTAGTCATCTTGCTGGGCGTGAGGGTGGCATGCAGATGGACTCTTGACTTACGCCTTTCCACGCCTGTATGGTGTGCCAACCCCAATGCCCACCACAGATGAGAAGTCTCCTCCTGCAGCCTTGATGATGGCCCTGGACTCGGGGCACATCTTGCAGCAGCTCTTTGGTCTTACTGCCCCCTTATCTTTGCCACAGAAGTGTCCTTGAGCGGAGACTTCCTTGTTTAATTCACCTGGCTGTCTGCTTTAAGAACCCTAGCTAAATGAGTGTTGCAGTACCAGAGCGGCTGGCAGCCTGCCCTAATTGGACGTGGAGGGGAGCTGGGTGTTGGTGTTGATAGTGTGCTGGTTCACAGCATACTGTTTTCCCTGGCAGATCACCCAAGGCTTCATCACTTGACCCATGACCAGCGGTTCCGCACATCAGAAACTTTTCTTCTGTTGGCGACACCGTTGTGACTCTGGGACAGCCTGTGTCCAGTTTATGCCTGTCCGACCTTCTCTTTGATGCTGAGACCCTGACCTTGTTTTCTCTTGAGGAAAATCAAGCCTAGGGCAGGCCCTGGTTCTTCCAGTGGAAGATGAAAATTCAATGCAGCGTCACCATAAGAAAGAAGCTCAAAGGTTTTTGCTTACAGATTCTGAGAAGTGGGGTGCCAAGAGTCAGGAGAGCAGTCCTATTTCCCTGGAGATCTTGGGAGGCAGGAGTGAAGAACCAGGGGTTGAGGGGAGGTGGTGGAGGCAGACAACTGGCAATATGTAGGTGGGATATGAGTCACTTTAAGTTCAAAGGCAAATGACTGATTCACTTATGGGAAA